TTTCTACGGTTTCATTTTCGCATGTGAAACAGTCGTTTGCAGGGTGGGTGTCAACAGCAAAGTGATGATCGTTTGACAGCTATAGGCTTCTCTGTAAGTCATAGATCAGATGAGATGATCATCAGATCGGTCCTCGACCTATATCAGTTATATTGATGCACGTTCGAATGCTTGAATGTGTTCGCGATTGACTGTCCGTTGTTTGTACACAACAATTATTTTTCAAGTTATTACACCAATTGTTTCCGATTATGACTTCTAACTTTTCAGTCTCTCCTCTGATATGATCATTGAAATCGCCCACTAGAATCATATATTTTGTTGTCAGCAGTTCATACAGACCGCCTTCTGCTTCCTCCAGGAAGGACTCACGTTTTCTCTTGAAATTGGCACATTGACGTGCAATGAGATCATTGCTTTAGCCTGCTGTAGCTTCACTCACAGGATTGTCGTTCTTCGGCTGAGAGACTTCCATTCAGCAGATGATATTCAGATGTTTTACACGTTACTAGAAGAACTCCAAACATGAATTAAAGAGGCAAATGATGCCAATATAAAAGCAAGACTGAAAACGGAGCTGAAGAACACTCAGGTCCTAGTCAACAAATACGTGACTCCCTGACCTGTTGAGGTCAATTGACCTAGACCTGAAGAACTGAAAAGTTACGTCTACATTGCAGCGCCCATCGTTGCAACAGAGAATCGAATATGTGAAATCAACAGAGGAATAAAAATGGCATGGAGCACTTTTGAAAAACTAAAAATATGGTCATCTGTCCTAAACGAGCCTGAAGGATATTTGTTAGATGGAGGTTACAAAACACCGCAGAGAAAGATGTATGTTAGAAATTACAAGAAAAGAGAGGAAGACGAATGTATAGGATCACGGATGAGTGCCTCTGATGCCACTGTCCCTTGAAGTGGCAATGGAATGGATACACTGCAAGAAGAACCGACTGTCGCTGAACCCATGGTAATTAAGAGTGGGTTCCAAGAGAGAGTAAACAGCCGGTAGGAGGACCTTCAGATCGATAACAGGGTGAACTGGAAAGTTCGTTGGATCACAACGGATAGAAGTTACATGAAACAAGCTTATGACAAAGTCTTGACGTAGCCTTCATCCAGCAGTGGAGATCGAGAACAGCTCATTGTGATGGTGAAACCGCTGATTGATGTTCGACTAGAATTCACGTGAAAATTCTAACTCACCTCAAAAGCGCTTCTGAATAGTTGGCTACTTATCATAGTCAAGTCGTTGCTGTTTGTTTGAACACAGGAAATGACTTTCGTGTGTACTTTGTGAAAACCAGCTCAAAGCACGCTTTATCAGTATGCAACGCAGGAACGCAATCAATCTAATGATTGACTGACCTCGAGGTTTCGTCTGATGTCTTTCACGCCTCCTTGAAGATTAATGTGCGATAACGTTTGACTTTAAGGTTCAGTTTGACCGTAGTAGATGAATTGTTTGGAACAGAGAGGCATGCACTTTCCACGTAATGACGAGATCGTGCAGCCGCAGCATTTGAAGTTGAATGTGTGTCTAATGAGCTTCAGGTTTCACCATTATGGAGCTTTGCGACGGTTCAAAAACAAACGGCAAAAACCTGTTCATTTTAAGGTGAACAATTTGTAAAGAGAACGCGGCATCGTACTCTCGAATCCATGAGGCAGCACCTCATTGCGGATCATTAAATTTGTCTCGTTGTTTGTACTGTATTGAAAGTTTACAAATCGCTTTTGGAGCCACTAGGCGAAGCATCGATTTTCAATCGTTGCTGTTTGTTCACCGCCATCTCTACAATCAGTTGCGTTTTTCAGGCTGAATGCTGGTTGGTCGGTCCGAGGAACGAGCCCTGGCGATTCCGGAGGCGGCTCACAGCAAATTAGCGATGCTGAACTGAACCACATTCGGGAGGTGCTGATGCGAGCAGAGGAAATCCAGTTGGTCGAGCAGATACGCATAAGGTACGTAAGCATTTCGACTTCAACGTACCGTTAGCGTTGGAGCGTGATACGGAGGTGGCGTCAACTGTTTATTGCATTGGTACTGTTGTTGCCTTCTTGTCAAAACTTAAATGATGCACTAACGACAGATTGACGATGTTTCACATGTGAATACGAAGTTCCGAATGTAACGTGCGCAAGTATGAATGTTTATTGTGATGTTTGCATCTATTTGACTTTTGTCCTCATCCAGTTGCCCTTCTCTTTCTTAGCGTTGCTGGTATGTGTCCTCAAATAGCAAGCGCTGATAATGGAGTTAATGAAAGATCCATTTATCGATTTTACCCTCATTCTAGGTAGTTGGCAACAGCACTACATCACGTTGATGTACATCTGTTAGCAGGTGATGAGATAGCTTCTCATTGTCGGCAAAATGGAAGATTTACGGTTTGTACGATGCGGATAAGATTAATGCTTTCGCAGGTGGCAATGGGTGAGAAGCATCGCCAAATCTCTAAATGTAAAGTAGTCAATAAAGTTGACTGAGTCAATTAAATCAGCCCTCGAGTACAAGATTGACTGATATCCTGAAACTGACATGGCTTATTTTATTGTATCAAATAAACGGCAAGCCTCGTTGTGCTTTCGATGATTTTCGATTATAGCTTCAAGGCTGAGACGAACCGCAATTCTATCTCACGCATTTTTCCGCATTACCCTCCTACGCGCCTAAATGGTAGATAACACTATGTTTCATTATTATGTTCTCCTTGGAGAATAACTTCATCGACGGCTCCTCTTCTTTTGTATTCAAGTGTGTATAGTTAAATCAATCATTCGCGCAGTTTGCACAGATTTCGCATAAGGCAGAAAATATGTTTGTGTCACTTTGTTTCCAGAAGCGTTTAATGAATGGTTCCAATGAGTTACATAGGCTACCTCGCACAACACTTCACAACAGCTCTGGCAAGCGATCCCTCTCTTGATCGTTATTTTCACGTTATGCAGTGAATTCAAGGTTAGATGTATAGAGGAGTGTCAAATGCACAGTGAACAGGGACGTAGGTCTACTAAGTACCAAGATCTATCACTAACCAGTCGCCCTTTCTAATTAATAAACAGACAGCGAAATAAAAGTCATTTCATCACGCTTTGTTTGTGATTAGAACGGAAAATTACTCCCAGTCTGTCTGCTAGGGTTTGCAGTTGCCCTCTTCTCCTCGTGAACAGAACCGTCTTAGTAGAAATACGGAGCTTTGCTATCCTCGTAAAATACAACGTTCATGGTGCTGGTTAAAAGGAATCATTCAGGGATACTTCGCCCTGGCCTGTGATCGCTTACTTTGTCTTGCACTGCCGCCAACAACAACGATTCGGTTTTGTATTTAGTAAAACCGTGTGAGAATCGTCGAATATGCACCGCACAGAGGCATCACCTCATTCAGTACTTTTATTACTGTTGTCCTTTATCGATGACCAGTCGTCGTTTAGTCAGCTGGTACTCAGGTGACAGGGTGAAAATATAATCTTGTTTTAATCGGTGATTAAATTGGACAGTCACCCTAAATTTCCGCTCTGTTTGCCACTGGAAAATAGATTGGAACGACCTTCTGCAAAACACAGCTGCCTTAAGCGGTGCAAGAAGGTCTGTGAATGTGACGTAGAACAGCCACGAGCATTGATCGTGTGGAACTTTGTGCCTTGTATTCACGATTGTACCACCAGCACAGCAGCATACACTCAACCATGCTTTGCCTCGTCCCGCAATTGCGTATTTTGGGTCTTAGCCCATTTCTGAGGCGATTCAGAGTCAAAATATGGAAAGCGTTATCCGCTGTTATACTTAAATCATGTGTTGCAGTTAATCTCACGCTCGGTAAGTAATTAAGCCCAGGTTCGCTTTACTAACGATTGCGTTATTCAGCCTTTTGCTGAATTGTTTCAAGTATTTTGAGATATGGCACCACTGAGGGAAGATTATAACACTTTATGCAATTCCTCTTCAGATAAATGCCTCATGCCAAAATACTGTTGGCTACCTGTACATAGGTACATAGTTGCAGAGTACCATGGTCAGTTCTCTGTTCCTTTCGAGTCAGTTGCGGGACTAGAATTTGAAGGTATTTAGAGCTGGAGCTTGACTTATGATAACTCTTCTGCTATTAAGCTCCATGGCATGGAAATAGTACAGTTATACTGACTTCCTGAGTTTTTTTGTGTTATCCGATATGCCTAACGTTGTAAAGTCTTTGTAAGTACCTAGCTACGTGAGATGCAAATTAACTCTATCGTTTTCATTATCGTATTAATACAATGTTCTAACGATTATCGCACATCTAGCATTGCCTACTATCCCTGTCACTGCAATGGCTGAATTGATTGTGGTACTGAACTATGCGCTGCGCTTTGTAAGTTTAACGGAATGATAGTAAGGTCGACCTGCCGAACTGACACTGGTGTAGATGTTCAGGACATGCGAGATCCAAACCATACCAATTTAAAAATTCGACATCAGTGATATGAATAATAAT